TTAGTTTTGATGAGGACTGGTTTCCCTGGCCGTTAGCATTCGACGAATTTTGATGTATGAATTTTTGGCTTTTCATCTGTTCAGTTGGTAAATTTTCTGTGGAACGCCATCTCGCATACGATTTCCTTAAGATGACCAACGGAGATTCCTCAGAGTGTCCGCATAAGGTTTTATGAAATGACTGATCAAACTTACTTTACCACTATGCGGTATAAACTTCATAAGGTGGTTGTTAGCAAAACCCCCGTCTTGGAACTGGCGAGAGTTGATACGTGACTGTGTGTGGTTATCAATGCACGTAAAATTATTGGCAAAAAGGGGTTTGGGGATAGAAAGCCCAGTCAAACCAAAGTTCCCAAATCCCTCCCTCGACACAACTACGCAGACGGACAAAAAGTGCAAACAAGGTTCAAGAGGCATCTTCACGTGAATTGATTCGGAAGAACTAGACCCTAAGCTAGACACAAATGCATGTGGGTTACCATATCAGTCTTAAAATTTGATGACCCATCATAACACAGAATCCCTTGATCGACACCCAACACAGATTAAGCTTGACTTAGCTGATTGCTTCTTCTTCCACACTGAAACTCGACCAAACTCGTCACCTAGTCTCATGGCCTGACGAAGCCCTTATGACAAAACCGAAACTTTGTTCAGCAATAAGCCTACCAATTGACCCCAAAAGTATACAAAAACGAGAAACCCGTCGCCAGTTTATTTCCAGATTCAGTGTTCATCATGTTTCGAAGAGTTTGGGCAAAGAGGTGTGGAAAACGGTCGAGCGAGCGGTGGTCGCAAAAAACCTTGGCAGGACAGCGGACTTTAACCCAATCACTTTAGTCCAATTCACTAGGAAAACAAACAACTCAGACCTTGATGCATAACCACGTACTCGCATGTTATACGCGAACGAATTCGTAAAAAATATCCTACTGAAAGCGGAAGCATCTATAGCATCTACGCTGGAACAGAGGGAACTGAGTATTGCTGATCTGAAACAATCGGCTTTATATATCTCGAAACCTCCGGATGGAATCGAACTCACTATCTACGGGCTGGTAGTTGGACGAAACGCCGAGCATTCCTTGCTTTGGGCAATTCCCAAAGTGTGGTTTCGTTTTGTCAGGGTATCAAGCACTTTAACATTCTTCACACTGGCAGTGTGTGAAATCACGCACACGAGAGCACTGTTGCGTACTCCCCCTTCGGCACCCGTCAATAAGAAATCTGAACCAGGCTGTTGTATTTTTAGCGTTTAGTGGGCATGATTTGAGTATCGGACGATGTCTGCCCTTTTCTACTCGTTGCAAAAAATATGTCACTTCTAATAAGCTGTTTACCAAATGGTAAGAGGAGCAGAATAATTCTGTGGCAACGCGCACAAAGTTTGCTGGCCTATTTTATCAGAATCGGTTTCTTTTCAAACAGACTACTTTGTCCAATGACGTTCCATATTGGTCGACGTGTGTGAATTCCAATTAACCTTGTAAAATCCATTTCCAGAAAAATGGGGTCCACAAAATTTTCCGCTTTTTGACCGTACATTCTTGCAGGATCTGGTGAATAAGTTTCATCTCTCTTGCTAAGGCTATCGTAGTCAATTTTTCGGCTGTGGGGGCTTTTTAACACATCGCATACTGGTTTTTGGAACGATGAGATGAAACAGACAGGGTAAGGTTTTACAGCACCCTTGGCTCCAGGGGTTTCCTTGTTAGCGATCGACCACACTGAAAATCGGTTCTCCAAACCTCACATCAGAGGACAAGCACCGGATATCTGTTCTCGGGCAGGGAAGTGCCTATTACCCGATTTAAATTCTGCCGTTTTGTGATACGTTGTTGGAGACATTTTGTGCGTTTCTAAGAAAGGGTGAAAATCCAGTTATCTCGCAAACTCTTTGCAACTTTCAGTACAAACACAATCTCCATGTCATTCGAGTGACAAAATGATGCTAGTCTTCACGCTTTCCTGGTCTTTGTGTGCGTGATTGCTTGACAAATTCTGGTGTCCTAAGTGCAGTAAGAGTTTCCGTTGAAAATCGGCGGGTTTGATTGTGAAAACTTAGGATTTTTCAAATGTTTGCTTTATGTCATCAGCTTACTTGAGCCAGCATTCAGGACATATGTGAATTTGTGAAGTCTGTCCGGGAAAGTAACGCGATGTTTGTCTGTTCGTTAAGCTAGTCCGTTGCTCACCAATGCGGGTCCGGTTTTTACGTTCAGTTCAAACAGATGGCCTCATGAAGGAACTTGTTACGAATTTGATCTGCCAGATATTCGAGTACATCACCGCATTGCGGCTGACTACATCCTGAACAAATACCGCATCTAACAGCATGTCCTAGGGCGAAGGCTTCTCCCATCGCCTCTCATTCCAGTATGACAACAATTTTCCCCCATAAATTTGGATAACAGTAGGAGATCTGAGTTTTATTTNTGTGACAGTACCCGCAATGCTGCCTATTATCCTAAATTCACTGTTTACGGGTAATGGCGGAAAGTAACTGCACTTTAGTCGGCAAGCTGGAGCACCTCCTCGTGGTGCCGACTGAGTAGCCTGGTCGTCAGTCTGGGTGAGCTAAGAGTTCAGCAACTCCAGACAGGGCCAACCACCCCGTTTGGTTTCAACGTGCTGGTTATTTTCGACAATTTATACTACGAATCACCTGGCGCCTCCGCACCAGTTCCAACCAGTACACAGGAGAGACTCGTTGAGTTCACATGTGGCAAGTGGTGCAAATCGAAAGCTGTCTTGGTAGCACACCATTGTGCTCATGACAATGAAAGTGTTGGTACGAACATGGTTGCCCAATTGGCCTGCGCTGATTTTTCCTGCCTTTTTTCGACGAAGTTTGGCTTAAATCAACATCCCCGGCACATACACTGCACCCAGCTTAATGCAGATAAGCTTGAATGAGTGAAGTATTCCGGCATCCGCTGGTTCCAACAAGAGTCACAATCACTCTTACGACTGGCTAACAAGTTATATCCATCTTGTGGCACGCAAGCCGAGGCGTTCACGAGATTGGAGCAGTATTTTCCTGGTCGATCGGCTATCAGCATCAAAACCAGGTTGCGGGTGCTTAACTGGCAAGCACAACTGCACAAATCGGAACCTGAGTAAACTATCGGCCAGACGATGGCCTACTTATCAGAAGCCGATGACTACAGCGTCAAGTTTAAACAAACCGTGGGTTGCACCGTGTCACTCTTGGAATCCCATGCTGACCGTTCGCTTGCTCGTGTTAACCTTCTGGCATTTGCCCGAGGGTTGCAGTCTGGCATCATGACACCGGAGCAAGTCCTGTCGCTTCTGGACCTCCACGCCTCCAGGACATTTCCACACACCTGGAAAACTGTTTCCCGACGTCGCCGTCAGTTAGCCCATCGGATCCCGGTCAGCCGAAAGCAGATCCGCCGAGCCAACTACGCCGCCATCCAGACTCTATACCACCAAAGACGGAAAGATGCAGCGTCTGCTGTACTCGATGGGTCATGGAAGGATTTATACAAAGGAAACTGCGGCCTACCTATGGACGCCGAACAGTATTGGAAACAAGTGCTCTCAGCTCCAAAACACGCGGATAGCCGACCAAGTCGCATGGTAGTACCATCCGACTGGAGCTTGATCGAGCCAATTACAGGAGAGGAAGTTGGCCGTACGATCCGTTTAATGGGCAATTCGTCCCCAGGCCTGGACAAGCTCACACCCAAGACGCTCCGCCGGTTCAATGCTAATGTGCTCGCTGGGTATTTCAACTTATTTTTGTTATCTGGGGGTTGTCCCCCACATCTGTGTAGAGCCCGTATTACGCTAGTTCCGAAGGTCCCACATCCAACTTCACCTGATCAACTGAGACCGATCTCCGTGTCATCCATTCTTGTCCGTTGCTTCCATAAGGTGCTTGCTGATCGCTGGAGTCGTAGATTGCAACTGCCCTCTCTTCAGTTTGCATTTCTGCATCGAGACGGCTGTTTGGAAGCCACATCGCTGTTGCATGCCCTGCTTCGTCACTCTTCAGCGACTGCTTCTAACCTCAGCTTGGCGTTTGTCGATATCTCGAAAGCGTTCGATTCGGTTTCGCATGACACAATCGTCAGATCTGCCAAGGCGTTTGGAGCTCCGTCACCTCTAGTTCGATACATCGCACAGTCCTATGAGAATGCTGTAGCAGTTTTCCCCAGTTCCGAGGTTCACTGCCACAGAGGTGTGAGGCAAGGAGATCCACTCTCCCCATTATTATTCATTATGGCAATGGATGAGGTTCTTGGATTGTCGATGCCGCAACTGGGATACCAGTTCCATGACACCTTAGTAGATGGTTTTGCTTTCGCTGACGACTGGGTCGTGTGTGCAGAAAGTCAGGCACGCCTTAAAGAGAAGCTTGAAGCTGCTGCGGTCGAGTTGGGAAGAGCTGGCATGAAAATAAACGCCCGAAAGACTAAAGTGATGGTTATTTGTGGGGACAGGAAACATCGGGCAACAGCAGTCTCAGTCGAACCATTTCGCTTTGCCGAGGAACTAATCACTCCTCTGGGTCCGACAGACACTGTAACATATTTGGGCATTCCCTTCACCTCCAAGGGGAAAGGGGTCTTCAACCACCGACAGCACCTGCTCAAGTTGCTCGAAGAATTGACGTGTGCCCCGTTGAAGTCACATCAAAGAATGGATATCACGAGGAACTACCTGACACCAAGGCTGATATATTCGCTCGTGCTCGGCCAAGTCCACAGGAACA